TTTCACAATGAGGTGTGTGCAGCCGAGTTATAAAGCACTTGGGAAGTAGTAGGTTTTATCAAATCGGAATATGAACCTTGCGTGACGAAGATGGGATATAAAGACGAGGTTTAATAAAAAAATAAACTTTGAGCAAAGTACCAAAAGTTGCGCAGTAGCGTGATTCATTTTATCTTGATAATTAACCCAGTGCCAATCTGATAGAAATGAAAATACTTAGGAAGCCGTTACAAAATCTAGATAAAGCTGTAACCCCAGCCTAAGTATTGCTTATTTCCAGCAAATACATGTTATAATAGAGCTATTTTACTTTTCTTGTTAGCGTCATATTCTGAAAGTAAAAAAACATAGAATAACAATCGATAATTTGCCAACATGGCCTTCTATTCTTAGATGTTCGATTAAGATCGCTATTAATCTGGTCCCTCACTATTAAACATTCGTTTAAAAACGGTCGTTCATTTCGACTGTACATATGTACGTAATTGTGTGTTTTGTGTTTGTTTCCCGGGTATAATTTCGTATAGAAGACTCAATAATGGGCACAGCGTAACCAATATCTTTCTTTGCTAGCTTCGTTTTATTGCATAAATCTTTTGTTGTTGTTGTGGCTATTGAATTACGTAAACTGTGTCCTCTTTACGAAGATAAAACCGATTTCCCATGTGATAATAAATCAGTAATATTCATAGCTGTCGTTTGCAAACTGAAAATTGTATTTGCATTGCTATCTAGTTTTGTARATTAGTGTCCTTCTTACAAACTCACCAACTATTCTTGGACTGACTAGCATCAGTACAATGACTGTTAAAATGCAACCACCTCTGTCAAGCCTTGTTAACAAGATGTCTGGCACAGAGCGAACTATTTTAAAAGTGAACTGATTAACTTGTTGTGTCGATTGCTTTTTCTCTTACAAAACAACTCTTTTGTATGACAGTTCTTGTAAATAGAAGACAAATAACGTACTTTTGCTGGGGTGAAGGGCAGAAAATGATACAAAAAGGGGTGGGTGGTGGTTATAAAATTATAGCTGTGACTTTTCCTTCTGCAGTATTTATACTTTATTTCGTGGTAAAATATCATAGTAATTATGTTAAGGAAGAAAGGCGCTGAAATACGAGACACGTCCAACTTGTGGCGCAACATTGTTGCGGTGCAAGTTCGAAAACAATGTTGCTCGTATTACACCCTATCTATCCAACTTGTCACGCAACAAAATCTTTTTTTGCAAGTTGGGAAAACGTGTTGCGAAAAGTAGAACGTAGATCAACTTCCTGCAGCAAATTTGCAATTTGTTGCTCTTTTTTCATCACTCGTCCAACTTGTCACGCAACATTTTATGTGCAGAAGCGGCCGCCATCTTGAATTATGTAGCTTGTAGCCAAATTAGCGTCCAGAATATCACCGTGATAGTCCCAACTTGTAACATTAGATTTTTTTGCGTGACAAGTTGGATAGAGAGATTTATCCGTTTCTGCGGTCGCCACATGTGAATTGAGTGTGATTGATGTGTTGTTCTCCACCATGCTACGAGGGTTTTCTCCGGATTCTCCGGTTTCCTCCCTCTGTAAAAATCAACATGTGAGTTGAGCGTTGTGTGCATAGAATATTGAATGTAGTGGTA